ATATATATATATATATATATAAAATTACAACGGAATATAATTTACATACAATTATAATACAACTTTACTACAAGTTCGTAAGTACATTGTATGTCACGTCTTCTTTTTCTTCTTCTTCTTCTTCTTCTTCGAGTTTCAATCTGAAATTCAGCCAAAATCAAGTCTAATCTTCATCAAAACACCCTCAAAATTGAGATATAAACTCCAAACAACATTCCCAATTATTTACAACAACACCCAATCCAAATAAATAGTGGTTTTTGAAAATTCAAATTCAATTTTAAAGCTTTAAAACTTTTTAGTGGTTGTCAATGGTGGAGAGTCAAACACCTTCAAAATTTATTGATTGATAATTTTAATTTGAATACCAATTATTGTGCAACATGAAAAGAAATTGCTAAGTTAAAATGATTGAAATCCATTGATGAATTCCATTAAAATTCTATACAACAAGAAAACATAAAAAAATAGAGAAGGAGAGTAGAGAGAGGGAGAGAGGGAGAGAGAGAGAGAGAGACGAAGAGAGGGAGCGTGCAAGTATAAAGGGATAAGGAAATAACTGATATTCCTTATTCAATTCATAATATAAAGGGATACTTATTTAAAACTTATTTGTATATAATTGGTAAATTGTATATGACCATGTAATTAAATTGAAACTTGAGTAGGGAGGGTAATAAGGTTTCAAATAGTGTATAGGAAAGTAAAAATCCCTATTTTTATCGTATATGATTAATTTGAACTCGCATTGTATAACATTTATTAAAAAGAAATGCATTTTTTATCAAAAAAAATATATTTTTAATTACTATGTCGAGCTCGAGAGCATTGAAGTAAGGATGAAAGAATTCTTTTCTATCTCTTCATAATCTTTGGCGGTACAAATGCTCCTATCCTAGTTCTATTACACTTGACATTACAAAGCCAAATGAATAATTTTTTACTACTTCTTAAATTTTCGAGAAATACTTTTAAAATATAAAATGCCGTTATTATCTAATTCTAAACAATTAAAATTTTATATTAATAATTTAGAAAATTTATGACATATTTAATATTAATTACTTCATCCAATAGCCTATTTGGCCAAATTTTCTTTTGATCAAAAGTGCATTTTTTTCTTCCCAAAGTTAAGGTGTTTAGCTAAACTTTTAGAAGGAAAAAATAGTTTTGAGTAGAAGCAGAAGTATTTTTTGAGAAACAGAAAAAAATAACTTTTTCTCAAAAATATTTTTTTGAAAAGCACTTTTGAAAAAATACACTTTAAAACACTTTTTTAAAACTTGGCCAAACACTAATCATTGTTCAAAAGTATTTTTTAAATTAATTAACCAAACACAAGTTCCTTTTCACCAAAAATACTTTTTAAAAAATAATTTTGATAAAAAATATTTTCAAAATAAATAAATTTAGAAGTTTGGCCAAACATGCTAATTTTCAATTTCAATTTCAATTTGAACACTAATTATTGTGCAACATGAAAGAAAATTGCTAAGTTAAAACGATTGAAATTCATTGATGAATTCCATTAAAATTCTATACAATAAGAAAACATAAAAAAACAGAGAACATCAAATGAGGAAAAAATAGGGAAAAAAACAGAGAAGGAGAGTAGAGAGACGAAGAGAGAGAGAGAGAGAGAGAGAGAGAGAGAGAGAGAGAGAGAGAAAGAGAGAGAGAGAGAGATGAAGAGAGAGAGCGTGCAAGTATAAAGGGATAAGGAAATAACTGATATTCCTTATTCAATTAATAATATAAAGGGATACTCATTTAAAACTTATTTGTATATAATTGATAAATTGTATATGGCCATGTAATTAAATTAAAACTTGAGTAGGGAGGGTAATAAGGTTTCAAATAGTATATAGGAAAATAAAAATCCCTATTTTTATCGTATATGATTAATTTGAACTCGCATTGTATAACATTTATTAAAAAGAAATACGTTTTTTTATCAAAATATATATATTTTTAATTACTATGTCGAGCTCGAGAGCATTGAGTAAGGATGAATGAATTCTTATCTATCTCTTCATAATCTTTGGCGGTACAGATGCTCCTATCCTAGTTCTATTACAACAACAACAACAACAACAATAACAACAATAACCCAGTATAATCTCACTAGTGGGGTCTGGGGAGAGTAGTGTTTACCCAGTATAATCTCACTAGTGGGGTCTGGGGAGGGTAGTGTGTACGCAAACTTTACCCCTACCATGAGGTAGAGAGGCTGTTTCCAATAGAAACTCGGCATCCTTCCCTCCAAGAACTCCCCACCTTACTCTTGGGGTGACTCGAACTCACAACCTCTTGGTTAGAGGTGGAGATTGCTTACCATCAGAGCAACCCTTCTTGTCTCCTAGTTCTATTACACTTGACATTATTTACAAAGCCAAATGAATGATTTTTTACTACTTCTTAAATTTTCGAGAAATACTTTTAAAATATAAAATGCCGTTATTATCTAATTCTAAACAATTAAAATTTTATATTAATAATTTAGAAAATTAATGACATATTTTATACTAATTACTTCATCCAATAGCCTATTTGGCCAAATTTTCTTTTGATCAAAAGTGCATTTTTTTCTTCCCAAAGTTAAGTTGTTTGGATAAACTTTTAGAAGGAAAAAATACTTTTGAGTAGAATCAGAAGTATTTTTTGAGAAACAGAAAAAAAAAAACTTTTTCTCAAAAATATTTTTTTGAAAAGCACTTTTGAAAAAATACACTTTAAAACACTTTTTTAAAACTTGGCCAAACACTAATCATTGCTCAAAAATATTTTTTTGAAAAGCACTTTTGAAAAAATACACTTTAAAACACTTTTTTAAAACTTGGCCAAACACTAATCATTGTTCAAAAATATTTTTTAAATTAATTAACCAAACTCAAGTTACTTTTCACCAAAAATACTTTAAAAAAAATAATTTTGATAAAAAATATTTTCAAAATAAATAAATTTAGAAGTTTGGCCAAACATTCTAATTTTCAAGATATAATCGCTTTGCAATTAGGTACATATGGACTTTGCAATGAAAAAGAGAAATTGTAGATAAAAAACAACTAAAATCAATAATGATGTGATGTGGAGTACTTACTGCCACATTACCTAAACTAGGAAGGTAATTGCTATATTTATAATGGATGAGTATTGAGTATTCACACGCCAAAAAGAAAAATAAGTTTATATATATTATGAGTATTACATACAAATATTTAAAAGAAAATTAATAAGAGTTTTAAAAGTTAAAACAATAAGTTAATTATTCAACCATGGATTTATTAAGAGCAAAATTCGTCACCTGTGTTGTTGTCCAACCAAAAAAATGGTGCTAGTAATAAATAAAATAAGTGAAGAATGAGTAATTTGTGATGTGAAAAAAAGGAAAGAATGGAATGAGGAATTTGAACTTTCCACCTTATCACATACATATCTTCAATCTTTTGACTCAAGGGAAGTGGGAGTTGAAATTTAGGTAGAGTTATATAAGAAATTTTAATTATCTTTTTAGTTTAATTTAGAACTTCAAGTGATTTAATTTTATAGATTGAATCTCGCAATCAATGTTGTCACCTGATCTAAGTATTATTCAATTTCATGATCTACTTGACCTAAAAAATTTACTGAATGTGATTTTGCTAATAATGTTATGGTAATGCCAATTCTATTTAACTAACCACTTAGATGACTTAGATAATTCAATACAAAAACTCATAAAAAGATTTGAAATTAAGAAAATAAAATAAAATATACATTAATAAATACTAAACTACAAATAATATGTGATAAAATTGACCTATATACAATGAATTGCAAAAAAAAGAAAAGAAATGGTAATGAAAGTATTTGTTCGTTATGTACAAATTCAAATCGAATCTTTACCCGGAGTAAGTCATAAACCTAAAAAAGATGAAACATGAACACTTTCTATTTAAAAAAAGAAGAAGAGAAAAATAATAAATCATCGATGACAGTTAATTTAAGTTAATAACTTTCACTCTTTCTCCAAAACTAGCAAGAATCAATTGTTTTGCTTCGAGGTATATACTTACCTTAATTATCTTATTCAAGATTTTAATTTCTATTTTAATTTAGCTTTCTCTCACCATGTATTAAAAATTCGGTTTGTGAAACATTTAATTCATGAATTCCTAAATTCTAAAAAAAAGAAAGAAAAAAGAAACTACTCAACACTACAGATAAAAGTGATCTCACCTTCAAATATATTGAAATAAAATCACAAGGAAAAACAAAATAAAATACAGATTCAATAAATGAAGATTGCGTAAGCTTCTTTAATTGTACTCATAATTGCATCTGGAAACAGTCAACAAATTTCAAGCACGTGTCAGCCACTCGTCAATACCGCGTGTGGGCAAATCCATAATCTTAAAAAGTTCACGACTAAATCAACGCGGTTACAAGGCGGTCGTACTTGTCGTATAATAAGCTGAAAAAGTAACATGATAATGCCTTATTGACTTAATGTTTTCTTCCAATTTATGTACCATATTTTTTAACATAATAAAAATGTACCTTTTATATTTAATGATTTAAAAATAATTTAGTTTCTCATTGTATCTTTAAAAAAATTATAGCTAATATAAATATTTATTATTTATTTTAGATAATAATTTTCAAATTTTTTTCTTTTATAACATCATGTTCAATCAAACAACATTACATGAAATATGAAAAAAGGATAACTAAAAGAGGAAGAAAATTAACTATCCTTCTTTCTTCCTTCATTTTATTGATTAATGCCTCTATTTCATTTTATGCGAAAATATTTAATCGATTTTTTAAAATAATTTATAGTTTAAATAAGTTTTAAATATTTGTGTAATTCTAATTATTTTATAAAATAAAATTTAATGCTAAAATAATTTAAATATAAAATATGTTATTCTTCTTAAAAAGAGAAGAAAGTACTAAAAACAGAAATGATCCTCACTTTTTAAAATTTAGTTGAAAAACGAAATTAAAAAGAGAAAATTGACTATCTTTCTTACTTCCTTCCTTTAATACATATCTCTACTTCTTTCGTATATCCTGTTCCTTAAAAAATAAAACACCAAAAGAACAAACTAAAGAACACCCAATTCAGCCTTTGACTTTAATTTTCAAGATTGAGAAAGAATTTCTAAAGATTTTGAGTCTATGGGGTTTAAAGGAGGAGTTTTTTTCTGCTGTTTTTGCTTAATTTTTGCTGTATTTTTGCTGAGTTCTTCATTCGTCATTGGAGGTGATATAGTTCATCATGATGATGTTGCTCCAAAGAGGCCTGGTTGTAACAACAATTTTGTGCTGGTAATTTCTCTATCTTTTTAGCTCATTTTTTCATTTTTAAACTTTTCAAAGTTTGAGTCTTTTTTTTTTTTTTTGTTGCTAAAAGGTTGATTTCTGTTCAAAGTTCGAGTCCTTTTTTTGCTAAAAGGTTCATTTTTGTTCAAAGTTTGAATCATTTTTGCTAAAATGTTCATTTCTTTTCAAAGTTTGAGTCTTTTTTGCTAAATTGTTCATTTATGTCCAAAGTTGGAATCATTTATTTTGCTAAAAAGATTCAGTTTTGTTCAAAGTTTTGAGTCTTTTTTTGGTAAAAGTTTCATTTTTTACTTTTGTGTGTGTTTATATATGTATGTAGATGTGCTTAATAGAAGTCTTTTGATTTTTTTTTGGTGAAGATCTTTCAATTTGTCTTTACATTACTGATGTTTAAGTTTTGGTTGTATAAATGTTAATCTGTTTGTGAAGAGATTTGATTACTCATGTGCTTATTACTGGCTTATGATAATGGTTTGTCAACTTATGTGATTTCAATGAGAATTCTAAGGTTATGTTTATTAATTCTGTAAAAATGAAGTTTACCTATTTAGAAATTATATAAAAAGTACTGCGAATCTGAATTATGTATTGTAAAATCATTCATAAGAATTTGACTCTTATAGTAATACTTTGGCCGAAGCCAGTAACTTTGGCTTAAAAAGTCCACTAAATAAGTACAAATAATTGATCCAAACCCATTAAGTCAAATAGTTGTGGTAGAATCCCGAAATCGAACCCATAAAGTTTAAATCTTGGATCCACCCCTTTGCTATGTCCCTCTTTTTTTCTTTCGTTGGCTTCGTAATCCATGCCTACTGTTCATTGGTTTCTGTATTTTAGCTGAATTTCCTTTTTGCAGTTAAAGCTTGGATTTTTCCGTTGTTATTGTTCTGTGTATTTATTGCTGTATTAGATTAACAGCGGGTAAAGCATGATGCTTGCTGTGATGTTATTTTGTTATTACTTATTTTGGGGTTTATCTGCATCGCATCTAGGCGGTTAATTCACTACCGACACCCAATTCTACTCCACTAGTTCCATGGAGTAGAGATTAACAAATGAAAGTTTGGAATGGTTTGTTTGTTATTGTGGAGTTAGAAAAAATGAGTTAATAGTAATAGTTGTCGCACACCTAAAAGCAAACAAATAATGTGTTCCCTATCTATATAAGTTATAAATGAGGTGTTCATACAATTTCACATGGTATCAAAGAAGGCGAAGTTCCTATGTTTGAATTTGATCGTCACCCAACAATGAAAAATTTTCACATACTTGCCGCAAAAAAAGAATAAGCCGCACGTCGGGGGACAAAAGTAATGTGAAGCGCTCTCTCCATGTCAAATTGGATTTTCACCTTTCTTTGTTGAGCCATCCAAAATCATTGCAAATTTCTTATAAGGAAAGCCCTTACTCCCCGGAAGTATTATATAAATCAGATAGTACATCGTACCTCTCTATGCAATGCTTTCTCAACCTCAAAAAATCTGTGTTAAAACTAGCATCCACATGTTTCCCGTTTAACATTTCTCTTTTTAGTTGGTTGGTTCCCATTTAATATTCACATTTAAAATATGCACATATTTTAAATCTATTCATAATAGTTGCACCAAGTCGAAAGTGAACCAATCAATTTGGATGGAGAGGCTACTAATCTTTTTTAGTTGCTTGAATTTTTGGAGATGAATACCCTTGCCATAAGGGAATGAGTCAATAAAGGGATGGACTAAAAAAGAAAAGATACGTCAAGTCCATTGGAAGAATGAAGTTAAAAGTGAAGAATAAGTGAATAACCACAATTGTTGTATTAGTCTATGCAAGGTTTCTTCCTATCATTTTGGGATTTAATTGAATTTGATGGTCTAAATTTTGATTAGGTTCGCTAATAGTAGAACTTGGCAACGGCATCTGGTGTATCATTACTTTTGGTAATCATAGATAAAATATTAGTCTAAAAGCATTCAGGACAGGAATTGAAGACTTTATTGTGTAAAGATCCATTTTTGGAAACTATAGATTGATAGTTATCCCAGATATACTAGCCTGAAGAGCATCCGATCAGGATTCTGGGAGTGTATGATATCTTTTTTCACTCAAAAGGAAATATAAGAAATGTCATGACAACGAATCATCAAGCAGGATTCTTGGTTTGTAAAGGCCTGCTGTACCTTTTCAACTCCTTCACATAATAGAGGGCTCTACTTGTTTTTATTTGTTCCCCTCTTATCGTTTAACCCTACTAACCGAACCATTATAGGCAATCCTTGGCATTTGCGTAGTTGGCAGTTTTTGGAACCTGAAATCTAAGAAAAGGAAAATTTGAGTTCAGTAGTTTAAGTTGCATCGTCAGTTGATATGACGCTTCCATGCATTTTCTTGTGCCTTCTCAGTTAAGCATTCATCAGTTTGTGTTTCTGTCATTTTCTTTAAGAAAATAAGAACTAAACCTTCCAAACAGGAGGCAGGTTCGATAGCATAACTTCGCCACTTGCTTGCTCCATGGCATCAGTTTATTTAGGTCAAATCTAAAGGACTTCAAAAGGATAAAAGTGGAAATGTGCCATCCGAAGTAGTCTTTTGTTAATACGTCATGTATAGAGCCCTGATCTTGATGGACTACATCTAATAGAATTGAGAATTTCGCTTTTGACATGATGGTTGTGTGTAACTTGATCATTTTATGAATGGAGATGAATAATCTAGATTCTATAGTTTGGTCGTCATACACATAGTTTGTAAAATTTACTGTGACCCGAGGTACTTTTTGGCTCATTTGACAAAATTCTAAGTCATGGCTGGCATAGAAGTTATGTTTTGGTTTTGGCATTGTGTGAGCAGAATACTGTTCCAATGTACTTCGATTGTCATTTGGTCAAGAATTTTATGCGAGAGTTGGTGTCTTTCTCAAACTTGCAACTTGTAAGTTGTAACTGCACTTATCTCCTAAAGTAGTGTTTCCTCAAATAGGTAAAAATTCCAACATGGGTTCATGGGAATGAAGTAACTGAGTTTGTTGGCATTGGGGCTCGATTTGGCCCCACATTGGAATCAAAGGAGAAGCGTGCTAATCAGACGAGGCTTGCCTTTGCAGACCCAACGGATTGTTGTAGCAATCCTAAGAATAAGGTTGATCTTGCATTTCCTTTTGTGAAACATGATTCCACTTATTAGACACTTCTATAAGGATGTAGCAAACTCACCGTTTAGGTCTTGATTGAATGATAGCTCACTGGTGAGTCCATCCTGGTGCACCGAGGTAATTGCAGTTTCACCAGAAAAGCAAAAGTTGCAGAGGCTGCTGGCGCTTCAGCGATCATCATTATAAACAACCAGACAGGTTTTGGTGCTCTAATTTCAACATTTTCCTCAGTAATGCTCGATTTCCTTTTTCCTTGTTCTAATAATGAATATGGGCTCTTAACCTTGATATGTACTTCTGCATACTGCTATAAGCTACATCGCAGTCATTATAAAATTTCCAATTGTTGTTATACAATCAGTTTTCCAGTTTTGTTTCTTGATATGCACAGGCCAAGGGTTTAAATATAATTTTATGTTCTCTTATTTCTTTTTAGAGCTCTTCAAGATGGTTTGTGAGCCCGATGAACCTGATGTGGACATCGGTATCCCTGCCGTGATGCTCCCACAAGATGCAGGTACAAGCCTGATAGAGTTTCTCAGGAACAGCTCTGCAGGTAGGCTTATTATATTTTACTTTTCATTAGTCCCGGAGAGGGGGGGGGGGGGGGGTTTCGAGAGGGATGCAGGTTAGACATGCATATCTTACTTGTGGCCAGCTAGCTCCTTTATCATGCTTCACTGAATTTAACATGGTCCCTATCCATGTGGATTTGTTCCCACCATTGTGACTTACAGACTTTCCATCTGTTCAGTTTCGGTGCAGCTGTACTCTCCGAAACGTCCAACGGTTGATGTTGCTGAAGTGTTTTTATGGCTTATGGCGGTTGCTACCATATTATGTGCTTCTTATTGGTCTGCATGGAGTGCCAGAGAAGCAGCAATTGAGCAGGACAAGTTCTTAAAAGTAAGTCACAGTCATTTCTCGATTATATTTCCCACTCTCTAGTGACAGTCGATTCATCTTTTAGATACATGAATGCTCATTGCACCTCTCCTTGACAATTTGGTTGAACTATGTATCTGCTCTTGTAGGATGGCTCAGATGATTATGGTGGCAAGGAGGTGACTCATTCCGGTGGTGTATTGGACATCAGCACAGCATCGGCACTTCTGTTCGTAGTGGTCGCATCTTGCTTCTTGATTATGCTTTACAAGTTGATGTCCTTCTGGTTTATTGAGGTTCTGGTGGTCCTATTTTGCATCGGTGGCGTTGAGGTATGTCATAGCTTTTGAAGACATTAGTTGATGATGTATCCTCTGATTTCTCTCTATCAACTTAAGCTTTTAGATGAGATGATCACATAGTTCATAATGGTATTAGAGCAGGCAAAAGTCCCAGGATCAAGTCTAACCATCACCCTATTAGCGAAAAGAATTTTCATGTGCTTGGCCAAGAAAAAGAGTCAAGCCTGCATGTGAAGGACGTATTGAAGACATAATTAGGTAATTAATAGTAACTAATAATGTGCTCTCTGTAAAGCTTAAGCTTTAAGATGAGATGTATCACATAGTTCCAATGTACCGAATGAGGAGCCTATACCCAAGGATACAATATACTCTCTCTATTCCAACTTATGTGACATTTTCCTTACTAGTACGTTCCAAAATGGATACATTTCTATATCTAGAAACAATATAACTTTAAACTTTCCATTTTACCCTTAATCAAAAGCTTTTATAGTCACACAAATGTTATGGGATGTTTTATTTTTTTATAACCGTGGTGTCCGGCCCAGCTTGCACGTATTTCGACTAATTCCACGGGATATTAGTTACCTCCGATCAGTAACAGGTACCGAGTAACTCTGTTCACCAAGGTTTGGACAGATGAGAAGAATCACCTAGTGTTTTTGCCTCCGCTGGGATTTGAATCTGAGACCTCATGGTTCTCAACCCACTTCATTGACCGCTAGTCACACCCTTGGGGGCAAATGTTATGAAATGTTTAAGACCACAAGTTTCAGATGTGCTATAACTACACAAATATTATGGCATGTTTTTGATCACAATTTTCAAAAGTTTTCCCTTTTTTCTTAAACTCCGTGCCTTCATCACATAAATTGAAACGGAGGGAGTATTAATTGTAGTTCCACTAGTAAAGCTCTAAAAATAGCAACTAAGGGCATTTTAATCTGTACTTCTGGATAACTTCCATGTTTAGGTGATTTGATTTTAGGTAATGACTTGCTAGCTTGGGATAGTTATGTATAGGAAGTATATGAACAAAATGAATGGAATAAAGATCATCTTGTCTCAACGTGACAACGTATGAAGTCCATCCTGACACTTTTCCCTCATTGTAATTGCAGGGTCTACAAACCTGTTTGGTGGCCTTGTTATCATGGTATGTTTATTGTATTGGTGTTACTAATTGTTATTTTAGTTATGGTGTCTTCAATGGTTTGTTGTGCAAAATAAGCGAGGGCGAAGAGGAAGTGAATTGGAAGAGAATACAATTGGGACCAAACTGAAACTTTCCCCCTTTTCCATTATTTGGTATTCTTGGGTGGTTGGCTGATTCAATCCCCGCCAATCTTTTGTTCTGTTAACTATTGTAGTGGTAAAATACAAAATCCCTCTCATTTAATGAATGAAGGTGCTCATTAGTTTTAAATTTCCACTATCCCACTTCTCTTTTTCCGATTCAAAAATTTATTATTAAGATATGTGTTCCTCCGACTTTCTCTAAGAAAAATGTGTTCCTCAGAGGAAAACCAGGAATGAGGGCAGCAGGCAAATTACCAATACAAGTTTCTATCAACTATACATTCTTTAAGTCCTCCTTAAACTTCTCCTGTGAGTTCAAGGACCTCAAGTGTAGTTCTCGGACTTGGAGAATTCAAATATACGCACATTAATGTCATACACTGCAATAATAGCATGACACGCATAAGCAAAGATCAACATATGTGGATTGAGATCTGAAAGCAACAAGAACTATGCCTCAGTCCCAAACAAGTTGGGTCAGCGATTTGAATCCTTTTCTTTCTTCAAGCTTAGCTCATACAATCGCTACCAAAATAAAATAAAAGCGAAAGGAATAAGATTTGGAAGCACTGTAATTAAATAATTGGTATAGAACAATGACAGAGGAAGTGTTCTCCCTCAGCAAACCAAATGAGAGGCAAAATTATAAAAAATTAGCTCTTCCATTTTTAATTCAAACCATAGCATTTCAGAAGTCTTTTGTCGTAGTCTATGCCTTTAATTTGAATTTTTAGTAGTAGTTCAGAAAGGCATCCATCTCTTGCCTTATCTCCGCGAAAAATATTAAACTACTAACTATTACTAGTAAGGGTGAAATGGCTAAGAATAACAAACAGTTCACTTAGTAAACAGAGATACCAAACTATGGCGATTTAGCAGACTTCTAAGGAAGTACTTTTATGTGGCTTTGTGTTTTAGAAAATTGAAAAGTTTTGTATATAAAGTCTTAGTCATAGATAAGTCGTTTGACTCCTTGAAGTGGAAAAATGTCTAATCTGTGTAGGATAGTGGCCCCTTTAAGAATTCCAAGGAGCCTTTTCTGAAATCTATGATTTTTCAGTTACTTGGAATTATTTGGCTTCAAGTAGTCGTGTTTTTGAGGAAGGCAAAGAATTCTTTTAAAAAAGAAATAGAAATGATATCGTTTTCGCAGTAGAGTACTTCAAAATTGTTTGGGCATCTCATAGGCTTGGGTTTCCTACGGCTCATCAGGTTAAGCATTTTAGTCTATTTGAGTTCTGTTCAATCTCTCATGTTTGATAGGGCTCTCCTTTCACAATAGAGCAGTTACAGTTACATTTGGTAATTGCTACTCACCCGTCATCATCAATAGTATTGGTGATGGATACTAGATTTCTATTACTTTATTCTTGAAACAAGGTGTAATTCACTTTACATACCATAATGCCATTTCATAAGTTGTTCCTCAGACACGTGGCTAATGGTCAATTTTTATAGTTTCAGATGGTTTGAACATGCTCATGAATCGGTTATTAAAGTTCCACTTCTGGGGCCTGTTTCATATCTTTCGCTGGCAATTTCTCCATTCTGCTTAGCTTTCGCTGTTATGTGGGCGGTTTTCCGCCGTGTCTCCTTTGCTTGGATAGGTCAAGACATACTTGTAAGAACTATTATCATATTACACTTGTTACCTTTTCAATTTTGTCTTCATTTTCAAAATCCAGCAGTCTACCTTTATAGTGCAATGATCTACCCACGGTTAAAGATATGCTTTAATGTAACGTTTGGCATGGGGTGATGTGTAATCACTGGTATGCAAACGGTTTTGATATTTTGTTCTGCGCAAGTGGAAATTGTAAAGGATTAACATTTTGTAGTGGTGATAGAAACTTATTCAATCGAAGAATAAACTCGTTTTTATGTACTTCAAAGAAAAAAAAAAGCTGTTTGTATTTTGTCAACATGAAGCCATGATATAGTTAAAAAAGTGTAGACATGTACCTAAATATATTTATTGTGAGAGAAAGTTGTATTATCAAAATTCTGGTAAAAACCTCAGCACTTATATTGACCTACCTGCATTCTTGGACACCTTTTTATCTCTCTTTTATAAAAAGAATAATTGTAACTTTCTTTCCCATGGCAGTATTATACTTCAGCTGTGATATCGTATTTTCTGAAAAAAATGAAATTAATCATACCTGTAAAGAGTAATTTATGGAAACATGGGAAATGTGATGTTGTAGCTTCTTGGTCTGAGTTAGTTTGTTTAGTGTGTGTTTATGCCGAGAGATCAGCGGGCATGCTTTTGGAATTCTGCTTGTATTTTTTTCCCACGGGTTGCCTGATCTCAAGAGACAAAAGTATTAATTATTTTTAATTTTTTATATATTATAGCGAAAAGACATTCTTATTAAAAAAGAGGTAAAAATACATGTATTAATTAAGTCGTTTGGACATTATATGAGTTGAAGTTGGTAAAAAAGAGTATCTAAGGTTGAAGTTGGAAAAAAGTTTATGGAAGTTGAAATTGTGTCTCGACATGAACTTCACTTGGAAACAGAGTTTGTGGAAGTTTAGGTTTTTGTAAGTGGAATCCATCTTTTCTTTATTTGCTTGAAATGCACCTTCAAATCAATATTTTAATCACTTGAAGTTCAGTTTTTGCAAGTATGAAATAGTAACTATGCCGAAGTGGAGCCTTAGACTTGAGAAGAATAATATACATTAGTTGGTGCTTCATGTGTAAGGAGGAGGGAAGCATGTGAACCACCTATTAGTACAGTGCCAGTTCAAAATTAGATTGTGAAGCACAGTTAATCAGGTCGGCAATGCCAAGAATTGTCGGATTACTTGGAGGGAAATTCAGGAGGGAAATTCAGGAGGAAGAAAAAGAGGAAAGCACGGGAGGTGACCCTCTTATGCTCATGTGGTCAATTGGAAGGAGAAAAGTAAAAGAGCATTTATGGGAATTGAAAGTTCTTATGCAAAGTATACGTGATATTCCAATAAGCGTCAAAGTTTGGGTGTTGTATGTAGATAAACATATTGCTACATAACTTTTCGTTTTTGTATTTACCTTGTATTTGTGGTGTATACCTTTCTCGGCCTTTTGGCTAAGATCAAGTATAGTATCTGTTTTTATCAGTTTAATACTCCCTCCGTTTCAAAAAGATTGTCTTAGTTTGATTTGGCACAAAAACTTTAATAAAGAAGAGTTTTTTGAGATATGTGGTCTTAAATAAGCCATAACATTTGTGTGGCTGTAAAACTTTTGAAACTTGTGGTTTGAAACCTACCATAGCATTTGTATGGCTATAAAAGCTTCCTATTAAGGAAATATTGAAAGGTGCCAATCTTTTTGGTACAGACTAATAAGGAAATAGTGTCAATCTTTTTGAAACAGAGGGAGTATCTTGTATATGTGGTGTATATCGCTTCAATTAATGAAGAATTTATCTTATCAACAGAGAATATGATTTGAGCTAAGAGCTTGATGATCTTATTTTCTTCCTTCTCTTAACTAGGGTATTGTGTTGATCATTACCGTTCTTCAGATCATACGAGTTCCCAATCTCAAGGTAAATCAATTCATTATGCTGCATTTCTCATTATGCTGTGGATTTTGTTATGTAATTGTTACTGGTATTTACACCACAAGCAAATCATTTTTTGACAGCACCTTTCATTCCTTCCTTAATGTGGTTCCCCTAATTTATGCGTCAACTAGTGAGTAGATAAGTGCTCAAAAAGCTTAAGTTTACAGACTTCATTTTCTGTGCTTCTCCTCGTTCTCTTCCTCCTAACAGAGCATTGTGAAATGGTTTTGTCGCCCTCCTGTTTATCTTGTACTTCTGTTGGCCTTTCAACTATCATGCAACTAAGCAATTGTAACGATTAAGCACAGTAAGGAGTAATAGTATGTTTCAGAAAGCTATCTTCGGATATGATTACTTTTATGTTCTCTCTAAAATCAAACTGTGGCTCTTTAACAGGAACTGGCAGTGAAACTAATTAATTTATTTTTCTTTGACCTTATCAGGTGGGAACAGTTCTTCTCACTTGTGCATTCTTCTATGACATTTTTTGGGTATTTGTTTCCAAATGGTTGTTCCACAAGAGTGTTATGATAGAGGTATGCGCATGGTTGATTGTTTGTTTCTACTTTAGGCTCGCTTGCGCGCTTTCCACCCTGCCTGTCACAGAATGGAAATTTGTTGATGTTGACTAATGTATATTTGTTGGCTTCTGTGGCAGGTTGCACGTGGTGATAATAGCGGAGAAGATGGAATTCCCATGTTACTGAAAATCCCAC